AGAATATAAGTGAAAGAAACAGATAAATGCAGACATAACATGTGTAGGGCACAAGTTATGGGCTTGCATGTAAACCAGAAGTGGGCAACTTCCAGAAATCTCTAAGGACTGCATATGCCCAGTGCCATACTTTGGATGGCTGCTTCCTTCCCCTCCCCCCCCGGCAACTCCTCATGCCCCATATTTTAAAGAAACCATATGCTTCAGAGGGCATAAAGGGGCACTTTAGTCACAATTCTGGATCCCTCTCCCCTTCAACAGAGGCATCCCGTAGAAACCGTTTGGATTCAAAAGCAGAAGTGAACAAAACTCACTACCAGTTGTGGGGGTTTTTTTGGGGGGAGGGAAGGCCACCTCCCACCTTAGAACAGCTTGAGAAGGGATGTGGGGAAATGTCTCCCAGCCTTCTAAGTGGAAAAAGTAAGCCAACTTTTAGAAAGGGGGCAAAAAGATTCTGGAGAGGCAAATACACCAGGATCCAAAATGTCCACAGGTGACCCTGTGGATTCCATTTCTCCCACCTCTGCCACAGATCCTATTCCCACAATCCCTGCACTCCAGCCTACCATTGAGATTTTTTGCATACTCAGCGTAAAGGTCCAAACATTGCACTGAGTGAACAAATTCCAAAGCAGCTCGATCGATCATAGACAGATACTGAGTGAACAAATTCCAAAGCAGCTCGATCGATCGATCGATAGACAGATAGGAGACCGAACTGCTTTTGGAATTTGGAATGTACATATATTTGGAATATATAGTGTGTGTATATATATATATATATACAGCTGCTGTGGAATCACTGGTTTCTGCAGAACTTTTCACATGCTCAGAAATGCTGCATACAGATGCTGAGGGAGGCTCACAAACAGGGCATGAAACACCAGCCATGCACCCCCAGGTGGCTCCCAGTATCCAACAGAACCTGGCTTCCGATCACAGAGGCAATCCTGGCATGACCCTTCTTGATGGGCATCTAGACCTAAGATCTTGCTTTCCTTAACACAGAGAACATCCCCACCCCAGCCACGAACCTTCCTCCTCCTCGTCGCTGGCTTGGGCTGACAGTTTCTTCAGCCTCTCTATCAGTTGGTTCTCTTCATCGTCTTCGTCTGCACCTTTTTTCTTCCGATCTTTCTTCTTATCTCGCCTCTTCTTTTGCTGGGGCAACCGGGAGGGGAAAAAGTGGGAGGGAAGTACCGTATGTCAAAAAGCCCATTTCTCAGCGAAACGCCGGGCACCACAGGAACATGACCGGAGCCGCTCTCGGCTCAGTCAGGCGGCCCTCCGGTGACACCGCCTGCGTTAACACCCATAGGTCCTGTTTCCAAAGAGACTGACCTGTTGCTGCTGCTGTTGGAGCTCTTTTTCTTTCTCAACAGCTTGCTCCTCGCTGGCATGCTTCTCTTCCACAGCCAACTCTTCAAAGAACTTAAACAGCACAAAGAAGTTTAGGATATTGGTAAAAAGGGAGACAAGGAAGCAACAAAACAGACCCAAGAAATTTCAGGACTTGGAAACTGCCTCCCTGCCCTTGATCTCAGAGGAACTCCCACACCCACTACCCCCCTTTCTGGGCCCACCCTCTCAAGAAAAAAAAGATTTAGCTCCCCAAATGGACAACTGAAGAACCCCTCCTGCCTGGTTGGTAAAATTGCCCATTGTCACACCAAGCCGTTTTTTTCAGGCTGGTGGGCGCAAGGGACGGTGAGACGGGGGGGGGCAAACTTTGGCCAGTATTACATAAACAGCTGCCCAGAACTACTGACCCTGCTGGAAGGATCAAGGAACTGCAAATTGCTTGGCAAAGGAAAATGTGGTTTGGCAAATCAGTTCTCTAATGAAATAAACAAAGTTAGAGCAGCCCCATGTAAAACTAGAAGCTTACCGATTTTTTAGTCTTTTTATCCTTCTTCCCCTTCTTGACCACTTTGTCTGAAAAAAAAAAAAGAATCAGGGGCTGCTTGAGGTTATTTGCCTTCCCAAAGACAAGCCACAAACTCCCAAACTGTGTCATCTCCTCGGCCAGGCCCACATTCTGAGACAGAGTCCATCTCAACTCCCCCTTGCAAAGAGTAACAACCAGGAACCCGAGAGACCGTATCAAAAGCACAATAAAAAGCACAGCCCACTCCACATTTAAACCTGTTATTAACAACACACTTAAATCTGTTATTAACTATTGAGCATGAATCAGTGTGACACAGTGAGTAGATCGATATTCAAAACTCCACTCCGCCATGAATCTTGATGACCCTTGAGGTTTCTTCCAGTTTTACAATTCCATGATTCTATCATTCTACTGTGGCAGATAAAGAAAGTACAAAAAATGGGATTACAGTTGAACACTGAGATGACAAAATTAGTAACAAAAACGTACTTAACTTCAATGTTAACAATAAAGGAATCTAAGTTATGAAAAAAATTCTATACCTCAGTTCAATTACAGTAACAGCCTAACAGGGCAGCTATGAAGAAAAGGTCTTTAACTGCAAGGATTTGTCACTGGAGACCAAGGCCAAGATCATCTAGATGATAATATTCCCAGTTATTATACATAGATGCAAAAGCTGGACAATGGAGAAAGCTGACAGACAAATATGAGATATTCAAAATGGAGAACAGCTTTATACTGATATCACAGACCAGCAGAAAGACAAATAAGTAGGTTTTAGAGCAAATTAATCTAGAATTTTAAAACTCCAAGTTTTTAAGAAGCTATTTAAAACAGAGTTGTTCAAAGCTGCCTTTTATTAATTCTTACTGATGTCCAACTGTGGTTTAAATCTGTTTATTTAAATCAGATTTGGCAAGTTATGTGATTTCATTTCATTGTTTATTGATGTTTACAATTGGTATGGCATTTATTTGTAGTCTACATGTGTTGATAGTTAACCACTCAAAAAGTGTGTACCACACTATTGCCAAGGTGTATAAGCTGAATAAACAAATACATTTTCATTAGAAACAAAAATGAACATTCTGAGACTACCATACTGTACTTCCAATATATCATTAGAAAATTAGACTCAAAAGAAGCAATAATGCTAGAAAATGTAGAAGATAGTAAGAAAAGAGGAAGCCCTAACATGAGAGGTACTGACTTAATAAAGGAAACCATGGCCTTTAATATACAAGACCTGAGCACACCTAAAGGATAGGATTTTTTGGAAGTAATTAATTTATACAGTTGTCATAAGACATAAGCAACGGGGCATAAGACAACAACAAAAAAGTGCTTATACAATTTCCCTGACACGTGTCATATCTCACAACAGGATTCTGGCCAATTTCAATTTCCAAATGCTCAGTAGAACAGAGTTGAGTCTAGTTCTAAGAAGAAGCCAAGGAAAGAAGACCAGTGGCTTTCCCCAGGAAGCACACCACATATGACCGCTAATTACATTTTCACTGCACTATTAAGCCCACAGGATCTCTTCAATTGTTAAGAATAAAACTATAAGGAAGACACACATGCAAAAATCAAAACCAAAAAGAAAAAAAAGTTTTCTATTTGTAGGCCAAAAGATTCCTGAAAGAGACATTCAAGCAAAACCTTACAAATAAAATTAGAGTGGTTTAGTGCTTAGAAATCAGGATAGAGCTGAGGTAACTCAAGGTCAATCAATATGTAGAGATGATGCTGACTGGGCATCTCTAAGCCAGTGGAGGTTGTGCTCTCTCTGTTATGAAATGGTTGCGAAGACGAAATGGTACCAGGAAGAATTAAGCATCCTTGGAGAATGGATAAGATACGGATAAATAAACTTCACAAAAGTAACTAGCTCACAGAATGTTTGACTAGTCCACCTGCCAATGCCCACTGCATATCCTCCTGACAAGAGGAAGAGGGTCGGGTCTCATGCCCTGAGCCATAAAATTCATTTTAAACCTATGCAATTCTAAACAGGCCATGGAGGGTTAAAAAACTAATTAGATAAGAGATTATTTAACATTAAGTTGTTGCCATCATCATGACTTAACTAGAGTGAACTACTGGCCAAAATCCTGTTGCTTATAGTAAACTGCACTAAAGTAGGCCCACTGAATCAAAGGGGGTTTCAACGGCTCCATAAGTTGTACTGATTCAGATGGGCCTACTCTAACCATGACTTACACTGAAACACTAAACTCCCATTGATTCAGTGGGCCTGCTCTGTAGCAATTTGCTGTACTTAAGCATAAGAATTTGGGCCATGCTATTAAAATCACTTCCGAGTGACCCAAGAAGGCCATGGTGAAGAACAGATATTTCTCCCACTTTTCAGGGCATTTATGTTTATTTTATGAATTAGTGGCACATGAATGGCTAGTAACTTTGGAGGGCTATTTGCTGTGATAGCCTTTTTCAAATACATGAAGGATTCTTACATGGAAGACAGAAAAATCTTGTTTTCTGGCACTCCAGAAGGTAGGACCTAAATCGCTAGATTCAAACTATAAGAAAGGAGATTATAACTAAACATTAGGAAGAGTTGGCTGATGGTAGAAGTTTCTGGAAAGTGTGAGGGCAAGAGGAGAAGGGGACGACAGAGGATGAGATGGTTGGACAGTGTCATCGAAGCGACCAACATGAATTTGACCAAACTCCGGGAGGCAGTGGAAGACAGGAGGGCCTGGCGTGTTCTGGTCCATGGGGTCACGAAGAGTCAGACACGACTAAACGACTAAACAACAAAAGGAAGTTTCTGACAGAGGAACAAAGTACTCCAGGAAGCTGTAAACCTTTTTTAGGTTTGGAGGTTTTAAAGCGGACATTGGATGACTGTTTTCCAGAGTTGCTTCAACTGTGGAATGGCAAAAGAGTACACGAACCAAGCCAACTCTACAACACTATGAATCTATATTGGTGGATTAGATTTGTAAATACAGTAGAGGACAAAAATAGATTCTTTCAGACCTAGCTGTATACTTGTAGAGAGAAAGAGAGAGGCCCACCAGTGCCAACAGACAAGGAAAACATGTCAGCTTGCCATCTCTTTTACTCATAGTAAAGGTGTTGTATCTTCAACAGGCAGAAATTCAACAGTTAGCGCTTCCCCACTCATCAAAATGGCAGAAAAAAACACATTATCTGGTTCAGGGCTACTGTTAGTTTTGAGGGATTCTTGACAATACATCCAACTAGTGGCTTCCCTGCTCTGTCACAGGAGGTCTTGAATACCTGGCATTAGCAGCATCACTAAGAGAAAAGATGATAGCAGCAGGAAAAGAGGAAAACTGAGTAAGAGATGGATTGGCTTTATAAAGGATTTTGCAGATTTGAATTTACAAGACCTGAGAAGCATTGTAAATGATAGGATCTTTTGGAGGTCACTAATCCAGAGGATCGCCATAAACCAGAACATCTTGATGGCACATAGCAGCAGCGACAACAATAAAGTAGCACCATGGATACACTATAGAATCTGATATTCCAGCAGCACTCCCCACATTGCCCAACATGCCATCACTCCATACTGTTTTATGAAAGCAAAGGAACCCATTTCTAAGACACCACCATTTTAATTTCCCACAGTGCTTCCTATTGCAATCAAAAGAACAAAGACCCCAGTGGGGAAATATATGATGTCAATCTTACAAAAATGTATTCCAAGATGTTAACAACTGGAATAGCTATATCTTCTCTATTATGAGCATCTAATTGCCCAGCTGACTAAGCTTGCAGCTCCCCTTTCAACTCCAGCATCCGCTCCCCTCTCAACCCAATTAACCTACCTTGCTTCAACCCAATATATTGTGTTTTGATTCACTCATACCTTAATTCAGCCCTGTCTCATCTCTGCCACTCTGTTCTTCATTAGAATCAGTTTCATCCCACCTCTGTTGAAATGGATGCTTCTCCTTCAAGGTCATAGATCTCTGCAGCTTGTCGGCTACAACAACTACTGGGCTTTTAACAGCTACATTCACACAGAGAAAACCCTTTAATCTTTTATTCACATGAAAAGCCAGAAAGAGGCAGAAGGTCAACCTGCTAAATTTCAACCTCTGAAGCAGGTGAAAAGGTCCAGCAGTGTGTGTACGCATGCATACACACACACAAAACTGGGCTAGTTCATTCCCTTTCCAGCCCAATGTCCTTTTAATTATTTGTTTGCATAATTACTGAACTCCCAGGCCACCATTTTCCCACAAAGGGATGTTCTAGTCATCTTCTCAAAAATGCTCTGTTGCTTATGATTTTTGAGTGACTAGTTCATAAGATACACCTTGAGAGACTGTATTAGGAATAATAGGCTACTACCAACAGGAATGTAGGACAATACAGCTGAGGGCTCTCCAAGAATGCTTACTCTCTCTCAGTAATTATCTGGTCTAGTTTAACAGCTGTGAGACTGAACTGCACACCAGGTACTTCCTGGCTTCCATCTCACCTCTGCCGTGAGCTCCCTGAATATGCTTAGGCAAGTGAATCCTCCCAGTAATTATCTGGTCTAGTTTAACAGCTGAGAGACTGAACTGCACACCAAGTACAGTACTTCCTGCTTCCATCTCACCTCTGCCGTGAGCTACCCGAATATGCTTAGGCAAGTCAATCCTCTCTCCCACCATCTGAAACACTGAGAAGAATAATGCTAACATATGACACCATGGTTAGAGATGTGTAGCCCTCCAGATGCAGCTAGACAGATAATGGTAAGGAGTGACTAAACTTAGGATCCCAACATCTGGAAGGCCACATTTTCCCCCATCCTCACATACAGGGTTACAGTAACTAGATCATCCATGGAAAGCATGTTGAGCCCATGAAGTGCTATGGTTTGTACATAAACACATACAAATCCTCGGTCTGGGTTAACTTGTCAGTAGGGAAGTGGGAACTGAAGTTCATAAGTATGGGCTGGGTTTATTAGTTTATTTATTTATTTGTTTGTTTATTTGTTTGTTTATTTGATTTTTACCCCACCCCTCTAGACCATGTCTACCTAGACTAGTTCAACATTATTTTCACATCCTTGATTTGTTTTGCTTAGATGAAAAAGTGACATAAACTCTCATTAAACTCTATTTACAATGACACATCTGAAAAGTCATGTGCTACACGCTCACTATTCAAGAAGCTATTAATCCACCTCCTTAACCACATCATGGTTCTCCGCCCCTGACTTTTCTCTTTCATAGGTGCATCTCTTTCACTTAAAAGAAACTCCTCATCCTCAAACCCCTTCATATATCTTTTTAAGGTACATATGGAATAGCAAAGGAATAGTTTTATTCTTATTAATAATCCATTGTTGGTACATCTGATACTTCATGGAACATATTGAGAAATCTAAAAATATATAGGCCTTTACCCAGGAGAATTTACATTTAGACAAAGAAAAAGGAGAAAGACAAACAGGGGGGGTTAAATATGAATAAATACATTCACCCACACCTGGACTTCGTTACTGACTTAACTTCCATTCCCAGTGGCTCTCTTATAGGAGCCTCTATTCCACATTAAACACAGTAGCCATAATCCTATCTACATATGCCAGAAAATAAATCACCACAGGAACAGAATTCTAAATTTCTAATTTAAAACCAGAAGGAGAACGTCAAACTTCTGCCCTCCCAGCTTCTGCACCCCCACAACTCTCCTTGCATGGCCCGGGACTGTGTGAGACCTACAGCCCCCAAGATCTGTGGGGGGGGGCAAAAAGAGGCTCCCCTTCCCTAATGTAAAGGGAGACCCGTGTATAGACACCGGGGAAGGGGTGGGCAGTCCTTCCACCCTCTCCTTTTCGTCCATCCCTTTTTTTTGTACCCTTGCTCTTTAAAGGGGGTCTTCCCCTTCCAGTGGGTCTGCCCCCTCTTGCCGGCCCTTCTCTTCCTACCTCCAGCCCCCTCTACGGAGCCGTTCTTCTTCTTCTTCTCCTCCTCGTCCCCGATCCATTCCTCTTGGGCCTGGTGGTGCTTCCCTCCCTTCGGCATGGCTGATCGCTCGGTCCCAACTTGGCAGCCGCCCTTAATTCCTCTCCCTCTTCTCGCCGGAACCTCGGGTCCCCACATGCACGGGTTCGCCGCCTAATGCGCCTGCGCAGAAGGTGACGCCAAGACGGCGCCTCTCCCCGGACCATAGAGACGGAAGAGGCACTTCCTTTAGTCGACGACAGCTTTCCGAGTGCAGGCCGGAATTTGTCATAGAGATCAAGAGTTGTGCTCTGCTAGAAGGCCGAACAAAAGTAGAAACCATAGAGGTCAAGAAGCTAGCTATAGAATGTCCGAAAGCAAATACAGTCAGCTGGTAGTGTGGACTTAATCTGTACCTTCCCTTTATCTGATTTTAGTCAAGAATAGATGTGGGGAGGAGGGAGGGAATCTCGATTTGCCTTTAGTAGTTATGAGTACTAATGATAGTTTATCATTATACACCTGATAATTGAGCATTATACTCCTGGATGCATCACTGAGTCTGGATGTTCAGGTTTTGGTGGTGGCCCTTTTGCACAATTAAAACTAGTGTGCCAGCTGAGCCCGTTCCTGGAGAGAGATGATCTGGCCACAGTGACACAGGCCTTTGTTGCTTTTTATGTGGGGCTGCCTCTCAAAAGTGTCTGGAAACTTCAGTGGGTCCAAAAGCTGGCAGCCAGATTGCTCATGGATTGATCACAGGAATCACATAACCCCATTAATTTCGTATCTGTATACTTGTTGTTGGCTTTAAAATACTGTCTTTTAATGATGTTCTCAGCCACACGAGACGTTGTTCCAAGACCTCTGTTCAGAGCACATTACTATAGTCTCTCAAGACTGAAGGATGCCTCCTAATGATGTAAGCTGCCTTGGGTCCTTTTTAAGGAGAATACATCCTTTAAAAGGTATTGATCATAATAATATCAAAAGTACACTGGACAAAAGTTTTCATGTTATAAAATGAAGCATAAAAGTTAAGAATAAAATTGTTGTTGTTAGTGCACTGGTCATTATGTGAATTTTGTTGTATGGGTATACTGTGTATATACTTACGATGACAATAAATTATTATTATTATTATTAAAATATAACTTGCCAGCCTCCAAAAACCCATGGGAACATCAGGTAGTGGTGTCAGAAAATGAGGAAGTCAAGATCTTGTGGGATTTCTGGATCCAAGAGGACAGACACCTTGAACATAACAGACCATACATAGTGATAATAGAACGAAGAAATGTCCAGATCATTGACATTATAATTCCAGGGGATGCCAGAGTTGAAAATAAAGAACTGGAAAAACTAACAAAGTACAGAGACCCGGGAATCGAAACATCTCACCCCTGGAAGAAGCACACTTCAGTGGTTCCCGTAGTTATTGGGGCTTTGGGAACAAAATAAACTTCACACAGTACTATAAGCAGTTGCAGAGCTCAGAAATCAGAGCTACACAATCAGAGCTACAAAAATGGCAATATTAGTAATAGCATACATATGGTGCTGATATTTAACAGATACTTAGGTTTTTGGTTAGAACTTATATCTGTTACATAATACCAGTCAATGTTTTTATAATGCTGACTATGCCTGGTGTTTCAATAATAATAATAAAAAACTAAAAATACCACCAGTCAATGTGCTGGGAGTTTTTTTTTTAATAATCTATACAATATAATTTTTATTATTATACAGTCAATTGCATAAGTGTCAAGTTTTGTATATCACTTTTTAGCTGATATTTTTGATGCAACACAGTCAAAACGAGAAACAAATCTGTCCTTGGTTGTTCTGGGTTTTTTGGGCTCTTTGGCCGTGTTATGAAGGTGGTTCTTCCTAACGTTTCACCAGCCTCTGTGGCCGGCATCTTCAGAGGACAGCAACCTGTGCTCTGGTGTAGTCTCTGCAGCGTAGTAGAAATGTTAAGGAACATAGTAGGAGTGCTCTTTTGCTTCGGAGTGTTTCCAGTCTCTGGGTCTGTCTGACTGTTTCCTCCCCATAGAGGCGTTCAAATCTGTCTTTGTTGATCCCCCAGGGCAGAACCCAAATTTCCCCTGAAATTGGATATAAAGGTAAAGGTTCCCCTTGACAATTTTTGTCCAGTCGTGTTCAACTCTAGGGGGCGGTGCTCATCCCCGTTTCCAAGCCATAGAGCCAGCGTTTGTCCGAAGACAATCTTCCGTGGTCACATGGCCAGTGCGACTTAGACACGGAAACTGTTACCTTTCCACCGAAGTGGTCCCTATTGATCTACTTGCATTTGCATGCTTTCGAACCGCTAGGTTGGCGGGAGCTGCGACAAGCGACGGGCGCTCACTCCGTCGCGTGGATTCGATGTTACGACAGCTGGTCTTCTGACCCTGCAGCACAGGCTTCTGCGTTTTAGCCCGCACTGCCACCACGTCCCGAAATTGGATATATTTATCCTTTATTTTCATGCTCTTACAGTGCTTACACACTGTAAGAGGGATCACAGATGCCTGTGGGAAGCCTAAAATCAAAGCATGGCAAGACAAATACAACAATGTGTGCCCTATCATTCTCAAATAACTGGTGGTAAAGTGCACAATAGCTCCCTGTGACACTTAAGCGAATTATATAGCCTTCATGTCTAGCCAAACTAGATTCAAAACCTGGAACGTCCTGATTTTTGATTAATCTCAGTCATTACGTTACACCAGCACTTCTGGTTGTTAAACACACTTCAAGTTCATTTCACCTTGGTTTATTACATACATACATTGAAAGTATATGTCAACATTGGGGATGGAAAACAAGTCTCGTGTAAACTTAAGATATTTGTTCATTTTGTTCAATTTCTTTAAAAAATATGCTACTGACAACAAAACCTTCAGGAGAATAAGGGAACATTTAGATACCTTGGACTGCAAATTGTGTTTAATATAATATCATAGTAACAATTGCTGCAAAAAAGAGACCCACACCATGTGGGCTTTCTCTTCAGGCAAGCTTTTTCTCAATGATTGGCTAACATGAGTGTGACTTTTAGATGGACAGTTATTGCTCTGACTAGGTCTTTAGTGCTAGTTGTGTTTATCACCTCTCAGTTTAGTATTTCTTTAATTCTTTTCAATAATTGCATACGTATTGTTGTAGTTTTAACATTGTTTTTTAATTATGTAAACCACTGTTGTACAGTATACTTGTTGTTTCCAACTTTTAACATTGTCTTTGAATGTTGTTGGCCGCCTTGGGTCCTTTTCAAGGAGAAAGGTGGGATAAAAAATACTTTAAATAAATAAATAAACAAATTGGGGACATTATTTCTAGTGCAGGTGTGCACAGGATTGCAGCCTTAGCTGGAAAAAAAACACCATAATCTCACCTGGATCATTGCAACATGCTGTATGTGGGGCTGCCTTTGAAGAACGTTCAGAAACTTCAGCTGATTCAAAATGTTGCAGCCAGAACTGCTGCTACTTAAGAGGATTCATACAATTTGTTTGTTACAACAACTTCAATGGCTGGCTGTCCATTTCTGGGCCAAATTCAGAGTGTTGGTCATGATTTATGAGGCCCTGGATGGCTTGGATCCATGCTATATGAATTACTTTATCACCTCAAAGAATTGTTTCTGGCTTTTGAGATCTTCCGGGGAGGCCTTTCTTTTTGTCCCGCTGCCCCCACAAGCTCTGTTGGTGAAGACACAGGAGAGGGCCTTTCTCGGTGGCTGCTTCCGGGCTCTGAAATTCTGTTCCACAGAAAACCCAGGTCGCCCCCTCCTTCCCTGTTGTCCTTCTGCCAACAAGCAAATACCTTCCTTTTCAGGCAGGCTTGTAACTGACATGGATAAGGCGGGGGGGCATTGCAGGATGATGTATTTACAAAGTTAAAGTGGCACTTTTTAAAATGCTGGTTTAAAATATTTTGTTTATTTTAATAATTTTGTTGTTTTCAGTATTATTGTCTTTTTAATTTATATTATTTTGTTTCAGTTGACTGTGAGCTGGATTACTATAACGCGCTTTAGTAGGACTGCCTCTGGAAAGTGTCAGGAAACCTCAGCTGGTCCTAAATGCAGCAGCCAGATTGCAGACTGGAGTTGGTCATAGGAACCGCATATCTGTCCCCTTCAAGCAACTACACTGCTTTGTTTCTGGGCACTATTTAAAGTGCTGGTTTTAACCTATAAAGCCTTAAATGTTTTGAGTCCAAGCTATCTCTCTGAATCTGCCTGGGTGGTAAAGATCGTCAAAGGAGGCCTTTCTCTCTATCCTACCATCCTCACAAATGCACTTGGTGGGGACACAAGAGAGCTTTTTCTGTTGTTGCTCCCAGACTTTGGAACTCCTTCCCACAAGAACTTGCTGTCCTTCTGCAAGCAGGCAAAACCTTTCTCTTGAGGCAGGCTTTTCTTAGTAACTGGCTGTTTAAGAGGGTCTTTTCAAATTGGATCGTTGTGCATTAATACTTTGAAAGTGTTTTTAGAATTGCTTTAGTTTGCCATTTCTCAGAGGGGTATTTGTTTGATCTGTTGGCCTCAACAGATGGGAAACCTTGACATTCTGAGCGTTCAGCCTGGAGGCAGGCGGTGCATAACGGCCTCTCCCAATTTGAAGAGACCCTTGTCCAGCAGGCCGAGGCAAAGAGACAGTCCAGAAACCAGCCAAATCAGGAAGCTGGACAGGGGACAGATTGTATTTGCCTTCAGTGTGGAAGGGATTGTCACTCTCTCATGCAGTGGTTCCCAACCTTGGGCCTCCAGGTGTTCTTGGACTACAATTTCCAGAAGCCTTCACCACCACCTCTGCTGGCCAGGGTTTCTGGGAGTTGAAGTCCAAAAACATCTGGAGGCCCAAGGTTGGGGATCACTGCTCTAATGGACCTTCTCAGCCACACTAGACGCTGTTCCAAGACCTCACTCTATTCAAAGCACTTTACCATAGTCTCTCGAGACTGAAGGATGTCTACACACATTTGTTTGATCCGTTTTAGTATTTGTATACTTGTTTTTAACTTTAATTATTGCCTTTTAATGAAGTAAGCCACCTTGGGTACTTTTTAAGGAGAAAGGTATGGTAAAATATTTAAATAAATAAATAAAACTGAATGGTGAGAAAGGCAGTATATAATATAAATAAACAAATAAATACTCCTATATTGTGTCATAAGAGTACAAGTATCTGGTACAATCTGAATCAATGAGTTTATTAATGTTCATGTCCACTACTGAAACAAGTGAAGTAGCCATTGCATTCTTTTTAAAGGTGATCAGTCTTTCATTATTCAAAGGTACGTTTCCCAAAGCACAACATCAAAATCTGTGTTATAATTTAGTTCAATCACCTCCCCCCTCCGACTGCAATGGTACATCCTGCACATCCCCACTGAGCACAGCAGAACACCGCAGCCTGCTAGCTTTCCTCACTCCAGTGGTACAGTCCATAAGTGCCTCTCACATTCTCTTTCCGCCCCCTTTTTTATTAGGCCCGAATGGTTTGCCCCGGCACCCCTCTTTTTAATGTTCAGTGTTTTTTTCCCCTCTACGTCACGATCCCTCATTCTTCAGTTTGAGCCGGCCCCGCCCCTTGCCGTGACTCCACCCCTCGCTTCGCTCTCATTGGCTCCTCCTCTCTTCACGGAGGAGTATTTTCCCTTCGGGCTCCTCCCCGCATCTTTGCTCCGGTGGCTGCGAGTCCGTGCGCTGTGGAAGGAACCGAGAAGGCGGAGTGGGGGCGACGGCAGCCGCGATAGGACATGCCCCGCAAGAAGCCGTTTAGCGTCAAGCAGAAGAAAAAACAGCTGCAGGACAAACGGGAGCGAAAGCGGCAGGGTGAGAAAGAACGAGGGAGGGGGAGGAGTTTTTTTTGGGGGGGAGAGAAACCGTGCCCCTCCCCCTCCGTGAAACATCTGGAAGGATGTCTCTGCTAGCGAGCATGTGGAGGAGTTACTCTCTTTGCACTCGGCATCATTATTTTTTTTCTCCCTCCCCTTGAACGTTTTCATGAAAATGCTTATCAGTTGCAACATCTGGATCTCATCATCATTACCCACCCACCCCAAAATTAGTGGGTGGTGTAGGTCAGTCCTTTCCCTTGAAACGTTTGGACGGGGGTGTGTGTGTAGAAGGAGCAGATGCGTGGCCTTTTATTCCCCCGCCCCCTTCTCTTTTTGATGTTAAAATATGAAATAATTTGGTTGGGGATTAAAGTGAAGTTGGCCTTTGCAGATTTAAAAAAAAAAACACGTTTTCCCAGCAGCAGATGATTTCTTGAAATACCTAGAAGGCACCTGCCCTTCTCTCCCTCCCATCCTGTCCTTGCGAACATCTGGAGGGATGGGTGGGTGAGTTAGGGCCTTTCACATGTTCTGTGCAAGCGGACACTCCCCTCCTTGAAATCCTGAATCTGAATGGTTGCTTCATTTCTAAATTTCTTAAGAAGGATGAGTGGGACTTTCTGACTGTGGTGGGTGGCGCTTCCGTGTGCAGAGTGGCATGCCCCTTATCTCCCCCTCTGCATACACTCAACATAATTCTACCCTCCTTCCAGAAACAGCCTGTTCTTCTCCTTTTAGGCTCCGTTCCTTCTTGAGCTTGTTAGAAACAGCAGTCGCCTCTCCCTTCTGAATGCCGTTTAAAAGAATTCTCAGGCCTCCTCACTTGAAAGTTTGCATAATGACTTTTTTAACGTGTGAAAGATGATCCTCTTTGGGGAAAGTGTTGGAATCCTGACTGGATTTCTTTATACACCCAACATCTGCACTGCAGTTATATCACCCTCTCTTCCTCTCACCTGCTTCAAGGAAAAATTGCTTCTCTCATATATCTGGAGTGGTGCATCCATACTTAGCAGTGGTTGAAAGAAGCACAACTGCTTTATGAAGAAATGTTATTTTCTTCTAATATATTTATTGTTTTTCATACTGGTTTCGTTCCTCCTCAGAAATGTGTGGCCAGATCTAATTAATGTTTAACCAAAACATTGCCCTTGCATTAATTAGGGCATACTTCTAGGTAGCTGGGTTTAAGACAGCTGCTTTAGCAGAGATGGGCTTTATGTAAGAGAGAACCTATGTGGTGCTCTTTCGTGTAATAACATGGAAGTTGTCAAATGCTGTGTTCAAATCCCCATTTTGCTACAAACCTGTCTGGCTGACCTTGAGCCTCTCTTTCCCCTGTTCTGGGTCTCCATGAGACCTCGGTCTCCTTCCTCACAGGGTTATTGTGAGATAAAAGTGTGTGTTGGGTAGGGTAAAATGAACACTATCTCAGTTTTTAGGTGGATGAGCGAAGTAAAATTGTAATGAATAATAATTAAATAATCATGAGAGCTTCATGAGGATTGGAAGGGTTGTCACAAATTTAATATCTTTTAGGTATAATTTGTGATTTAGCTATGTGTCTTCATTGGATTGTTAGCCACCCTGAGCTTTTAGGGGAAACAGCAGAGTATAAATTGACATTAGTAGTAGTTGATTATTAGTATTTACTACTTATTTCTCAGCATTTGCATGTGCATATAGGTGAACAAAAGGGTCAAGCCCCAAGTTCTAAGAATTAACAGGTGACATTGCATGTTTGCAAAGTCACTAGATAGAAATTATGAGCTTCCCTAACTTTTGAAGAAGTAGCTGTGTTTGTCTCTCCAAGCAATTGTTGTGGATGACAATGATCTGTTAAAGCTCCCAGGCTGTGAAAAATGTCAGCTATCAGTCTGCAAGGTAACATTTGTTGATACAAATGGCAGACTGTGGGGATCAATGTCGGATTTCACACCACGTAATAACTTAAGAACCCTGTAGACTAGTACACAGCACCAATACAGGTATGCAAACTAAACCCTACTACAAAGGATGTCAGCTATGTCTGGCAACACAATTATGGCACCAACAATGTCACACACAACACCAGGGATGTGCTCACTTGTCCTTCTGCTACTATGATCAGAGCCAGCCTTTCCCATCAATGTTCTCCTGCATTCTACACAAGGCGATCTCCACACGCAAACATTAATGGAGATCAATCAGACTTCAGAAATGGCAGCAGACAAAAAACGAATTCCAAATATTTCGGTCTATCTGAACACTCTTTGATTGACCTGAAAGCAATTTGCTTTTGGGAGTTGAGCAGGGAGAATGATAGAATTAGACTTGAAAAAGAAACAGCTGAGATAATATTTATATGGATGCCGGAGACCTGCTCAAAAGGATTAAATATCAATCAAGGGTTCTTAAATCATTATCAAGTGTAAAATCCCACATTGATCGTCACAGTTTGCCGTTTGTGTCAACAATGCTCATAATTGAAATTATTCACAGACTGATGGTTCTATTCCTTTTCTAACAAACCATTGTTTGTCCATTATCTGTATCCCCACTGGGTCACAAGGCCATGTATAAATATGACAATCACATAATCTCGCTCAGATGTCCAAGGAAGTGGACTTGAGCCATGAAAACTAAAATTAAAATACTGTATGGCAGCTAGTGTTTAAGGTACAGTGGTGCCTCGCATTATGACGTTAATTCGTTCCAGCGAAATCGCTGTAGAACGAAAGCGTAAAGGAATTTTTAAAAGCCCATAGAAACGCATTAAAACCCAGTTAATGCGTTCCTATGGGCTGGAAACTCACTGTCCAGCGAAGATCCTCCATAGCGTGGCCATTTTCGCTGCCTGTGCAGCGAGGAATCCGTCCCAGAAAACAGTGGGGGGCCATTTTATTTACCCGGTGGCCATTTTGAAACCGCCGATCAGCTGTTAAAAAATCATCGCTTTGCGAAAATCGGTTCCTGAAACAGGGAACCGATCATCGCAAAGCAAAATTCCCCCATAGGGAACATCGTTTTGCGATCACTTTTGCAATCACTAAAACATCGATGTCAAGCGGTTTCATTGTTAAATGGAGCACCTGTCTTGCGGGGCACCACTGTACTGCAATGTTATTTTTTCTCTCTCGGTCTGAGTTTTCGCTAAAAGCAAACATAGGGAAAGTTCGGCATGTTGTTGGACTGCATCTCCCCTTGTTTCTCACTGTTGCCTGGCTGGCTCTGAGTAATGGGAACTGTAGTCTAATAACCTCTGAATGGGCACCTAGTCCTTGCTGCTTACTGCCTTGCAGTCAATTTCATTGAAGTTGGTGGGACATACTTAAAGACATGTTTGTATTAAGCTGTGCATGCAGCCCAAGTTTTATCCACATCAAGTCCATATCCCCTGTGGCCCACCTGCAAGATGGCAGACAACTTTTTTACTACTGTATTCCTGAGCAAGGACTGCAGCCTCAGGATTGTCACATTCCACATGTGAAGGGTATGCTCTGCTTGGTGGTTCTTACAGTACTCTTGCTTGTTCCTGGAGTGAGCTTAAGATATTTTGCTGATAGAGAGTAGCAAATGGCACCTGCTGAAGTCAAGGTTCAGAGTGCCTTTGACTGGTCCAGTGATATTGGCTACCTGAGGCAGAAAGTGTCATGTCTCTCCCTTTAACATGCAGTACAAATACATATTGTTGTTGTTTAGTCACTAAGTCATGTTTGTGACCCCCCTGGACCAATAAATTAAATAGCTTAAAGCATGTTGCCTTTCATCACATACTCAAAATTTATTTTCAGAAGTGGGCTCCTCCCATCTGCAAGCAGTGGTTTTTCTATTCCATATCCTGACCCATTTAATTTTATTTACAGTAGTACCTCGGTTTATGAACGCCTCAGTTACGTAGTTTTTGGTTTATGAATGGAAATCCATTGAAAATAAAGCCTCGGTTTACATTCCCCCCCTGTTTTTTTCGGTTTACAAAGCAAGTTTCCCCAGGATGCATTGTGCCTGGAGGTTTATAGTGCCACCCCTGTTCCTATGGCAATCCGCGTTCCGGTTTATAAATTTCTCACTTTACGGAACGTCCCGGAAAACACATTGATTTTGTAAACCGAGTGTGAGGATTCGCTTCCTGGCTCCCGACTTACCCCGAATAAATCACCAGACTCGTGTGGTTTTGAAATCGGGGTAACATTTATTGCATTATTTAACAAAATCCGGTATCAACAAATGTGTTCCAAACTTTCTCCCTGTCAAACAATGGGTCTGACAGGGGTTTCCACTCGTCAACTTTAAACGGGTTTCCCTCTTGAACGTTCCAGGGTCCCGGCCAGTCCGGAGATGCGCCCGTGTTTAATAACGGTCCCTTCTCCCCCTCCTACAAGGGAATTGTGTCCTCGTCTCTGTTGCCCACCCAGGCAAGCTCTTGAGTGGGATCGATCATCTGCCAGGGTCCTCCCGTTCTGTCTTCTGCACCATCTCCCAGATTCGCCATTCCAGTCTCTCCCTTCTTTCTCTCTCAACCTTCTCTTTCTCCTCCCTCAATTTCCTCCTCCACTCTTTAGTCTCTCTTTCACCCCAGTATGACGGCTTGAGGGTGCTCTCCCGCCTCCTCTTGACATCGGCCTCCTCCTTAGGGACTCTTAGCTTCTCCACCTTTCCAGTCCAGGGATCTTCCACCCACATCCGCTCCCAGCCTGATGGAAGCCCTCCTTCACCTCCTTTTATATCCGCTAGTCCCGCCTCCACTACTCCCTGTGCTTTTCCTCCTGTTCCCGCCAAAACAGTCCCCGTCTCTCTGCCATTAATTCTTTCAACTCCTCCACTATCTTCAGGTAGTGTGGGCGGCATATAAGATAGATAGATAGATAGATAAATAGATAAATAAATAAATAAATAAATAAATAAATAAATAAATAAATAAATAAATAAATAAGGTCCAGTTGGTCTT